TTCCAACAACCCAATAATATTGGCCATTTGTGTTTCCTATTTTGTAAAAAACATTTTCCTTATCTATTGCTTTTTTTGTTTTGTTTTGGGTTGCTTGTCTTTTTCTTATGGTTTTGTAGGAACTCTTTATATACTGTGGCTATTCATCATTTGTCAATTATATGTGTTTTGAGGCTGACTATGTTCTTTTGGGGTAGACATGTCTGTATGATGGTCTAGGCCAGGGGTCGACACACTGTGGCTGGCGAGCCACGTTCGGCTCTTTGGGTATGTACATGTGGCTCTGAAGTAAAATTGAAAATGAAAATAAAGCTATCAGTTTCATTTATAAAAATTTTTTTTTTAGCTGAGCCATCCTGCCACCTGTTGGCAGCTCAGCGGCAGCTCAGCTCAGGCCGGGACTCGAACTGCTGTTGCTCAGAACTCCTACTCTTGAGCGAGCTCTTAACCAATTGAATCACTTGGCCGACCCCTCATTTATAAAATTGTTAAAGGATATTATTCACATAATGGTGATTTCATTTGATTTATGGCTCTCAAATAATTTTTAAATTGTTGTGAGGGACAGGATTGGCTCTTCAGTCTCAAAAGTTTGCCAACCCCTGGTCTAGGCAGTGGGCCTCTCATGAAACCCTCAAGCTCCCATTATGACTGGGGAGTGCAAGCACTAGTTCCTATTGCCCTGTAGGGCACAGATTTAACCAAGAGAGTGTTAAACCTAGAGGTAACTTACAGCCAATTTGAGGGACAAAGCAGGAGCATAAGGCATGGGTCACATTTGACTTCTGCAATGACAAGAGGTGCTCAAAGTGGTTACCATTAGCGTTCAGACACTTCTGATTACGGCGAGCTACTGCTTGAGCAATGTTGACCAAAGTGTCCACTTGTATACATTTTTGGCACTTCTGTATAATGATGGTAACAAAAGGAAGGTTTCTGTCACCTCAGAAAGTGGTCATTGGCACATCCTTCTTCCACAGGCTTGCAGGCAGTCTGATGACCCTGCAGATACCCAGAGATGGCCCACATTGGTCAGCTCTAGAGGTTGACCTTAAATGGGCTCTTTGAGATGGTTTCCAGAACCCAACATCAGAGAACGGATCTCTAAAGGTGTATCTTCTAGGGGAGACAGCCCTCCTACCCACCTCGATGACCTGAGGTGGTAGGGGTGGGGATGTCAGAGCTGTCATGCTCAGTCTCCAAATCCACTAAGAAAACAGAGGACATAAAAACACAGGCCAGCAGCCTTCGGATTCAGGGTAAGGTGTATGTGCCCATCTCTCTTATCTTACTTTCTCTCTCCCTCTCTCTGCTCAACTCTCTTATGTCTCGGTTGTGTTCTTTCTTTTCCCTTCTATTTCTTTTTTCTTTTGCTATCTGTCTCTCTGACTCTCCCAATCTCCATCTCTATCGCCTCACTTTCATTCTCTTTTCCCTTCTGTTTGTACTACTTTTTCTTTTCCTTGGTATCTCTCTCTGCATCTCTGTCTGTCATTTGATGTCTTTGTAAAACTCTGACTTCTCTTTCTCTTGATATGTCTGTCTTTCTCTCTGCCTGTGTTTGATTTCCCTGTGTCTCTCCTCCTCCTCTTAGGGCCTCTGCCTGAGGAAATGGATAGGGTTATCTCCTCACACCACTGTCTGGGCTGGAGCCCCTGTTCTTCCCTAATTCTGTCCACCTCTGTAACCCTCCTCATCCACCAAATATGCCCACCTCCCACCATGTGGACAGGTGGATAGCAAAGCCAGAGGCCACAGGGAGAGCAACCAGCCAGAGAGATCAAAAGAGAGAACTGGAGGGCCGGCTGAGTGGCGCGATGGTTAAGAACTGGCTTGGGATGCCAGAGGGCCCCGGTTCGGATCCCACATATGAGGNTTCGGATCCCACATATGAGGACCAGTGACACTGCCCTCCACAGCTAAGATGCTGAACAACAGCTCAACCTGGAGCTGGGCTGCTGTGAGTCGCCAGCGACGGCATAGGCTGCAGTCTCTGTGGCAGTGGGTTGCCATGGGCTACCGTGTGTAGCCAGCAGCCAGCGTGAGCGGCCAGCAGCCGCAGTGAACGGCCGTTCAGAATCCGGCGACTGATCTGCCTCGTCCAGGAAGAGCGCAATGATGGTGCCAACTTGGGCCAGTGAAGCAACGTCCTCCACAACTAGAGTGAAGAACAAATCGACAGCAACTTGTCTGTTCCCCTTCCCCCAATTCCCCACCGCTGTTCCTATCCCCCCAATTCCCCAATAAAAAAAAATCTTAAAAAAAAAAGAGAGAACTGGAAAAGGAGTGAGATCAAGACATATTGAAGGGGCTAAGGCCAGGCAGAAGCTGGGAAGACAGGAAGGGAGAAACTGAGAGCAGTTGAAATCCTTTTTGGAAGCAGATGGAATTAGAGGTGAGAGTGACAGAGGATGCAAGGATGCAGGTTGACATCTCTTTGCCTTTCTGAGGCCTCTCAGCTAGTGGGTAAGTGGGCAGGTAGCCTGAGAAGGCCTGGCCTGACAGTCCTCAGGCGGTCCAGCCCCTCAGTCCAGCTCACGCTACACCGCCATCTCGAGCCTTCTCTGCTGCGTTTGCCTCCATCTGATGCAGTTCTCCCCGCATCCCTACCTGTATTTCTGACCCTCACACAGCATCTTCTTATTTCTCTTACTGTCTCTGCCCTGTCTCCTTGTCTCTCTGTCTTTTCATTTATCTCGTTTGTCTCTCTGCCTCCATCTCTTTCTACATCTCCATTAGTGTCTCCCTCTGTGCATGTCTCTCAGTTTCCATTTCTCTTTTCATTTCTGTTTCTGCCTCACTCCTGCCTTCTCCCGGTCTCCACAATCCCTGCCCCAGGAAACCACCCCGGGGTCTGAGCCCGCATCCTCTTCTTTTGGTAAGAGAGTCAGGCCCGCTCTCCAGTCAGGGGGCGGAGCCTGAGGACCCAGCCCCAGCTCGGGAGACCTGGACCACACTGGACGCCCCAGCTCCCACTAGAAGATGGGTGACCCCCGCCGAAAACCAGGCTCAACACGGAATCCTACCCCATTGCCCGACACCTCTCACTAGAAGCCCAGAGCCTCAGGTTCTAAACCCGATGCTGGTCCCGCCCTCCTTCCCCAGCCCCGCTCCAGCCAGAGGCCTTAAGGGCCAGAACTTAAGGACCTGCACGTCACCATGAATCGCTTCATGGCCCCGCGGGTTCAGCCGTCTTTCAGACCTGGGACGCTGAACCGAGTCCCAGGAAAGGAAAGGAGGGTGGAACGCCTGGGGTTTGGAGGTACCTGAAGGGGCGGGGCCTGAACCTAGGAAAGGGCGGAGCCTGAAGATACAAAGAGGTCTAGAGGCTACTGAGGGAGGCGAGGCTGCAAATCTAGGGGACCTGTGGAAGTGGAGCCCATTTACCTTTGTTTTGTTTGTTTTTTTGTTTAGCTGAACCATCCTGCCACCTGTTGGTAGCTCAGCGGCTGCTTAGCTAGGGCCGGAACTCGAACCGCTGTTGCTCAAACTCTTGAGCGAGCTCTTAACCAACTGGGCCACTCCGCCGGCCCAAAGTGGAGCCCATTTAGAAGGGACCAGGGAGATAAAGTAGGGACTGAGCCTCAGAGGAACCTGGGTCAATATAGTATAAAGGAGGTAGGCCCTGCATAAGTCTTAGTGGGGAGGGCTGAAAGGAATGGTGTGGGGCCTGAGGGGCAGAGTCCAGAAGAACCCAGAGGCGTGGCCTGAAGGCGCTAGTGTCTGTGGGCATCACAGCAGCCTGAGGCAGGTGGAACTTGTGGACTACTGGAAGGGAAAGGACTTGGAGGAGCTAAATGGTATGGTGTTTGATAGGGGCAGGGTGGGATCTGGAAATTCGGGGGGGTATGGGGAATGGAGGTGAGGAAGGGCTTAGGTGTACAGATGGGGCGGGACCAAAGGAAGTGGCCAGGAAATACAAGGTTGCAGCCTGGGATACCCTGGGTCTGACTGGCGCCCAAGACCTACACAGGCCTGCATGTGGACTCATGAGTTTGAGGCTGGGATCCTGCTAGGGCACTGAGAGAGCTGTGTGCAGTGTCTGCTACCCCCACCCTGCCCTTCCCAGGGCCTTCTCTCGGGTCATTGGGCTCTGCCTGGCACTGAGTCAATCAAGGAGGCAGTGCTGCGGTTCTGCTACCTCTGACGACCACCAGATCCCCGTTGAAATCTTGGGAGGCCCTGGGACCCAGCATTTGCATTCCCTGAAAGCAACTTTGTATGAGAGAGGGCATTTCCACCTCTATGTCATGGCTTGCACAAAACAGACTGTTTTTATGTCTCCCATGAGGCCATTTGCACTGGAACACTTGCATCCAGTGAAGACGTTTGCCCCACACATGTAGGGGTTCACACGGAAGAGATAGCACTTGAGGCCGATGTCCATCCAGAAAAATCTCTTTCCCATAACTTCCCCACCCCAAAATGAAAACTCATTTCTGGTTATTTTGTGGTTGCCCTTAAAAAAATGCAACACTGAGCATCACAGAGGAGAAGTATCTCTGTGGTGCAGGAGACTGATGCAGGGCATCTTCTTCAAAGAAGCCTGGTCTCCCTGACCCCTAATTTCATCCCAGGTCCATGGGGAGGCCACCTGGAGGAGGACTATCTTTCTACCAGTGGAGTGACCAGTATCCAGAATGGCAGAGTTCATTTTGAGATCAGATTTCCTAGTCTTGGCAATGGGGGCCTTGGGGTGAGGGGTCAGGGGTGCGACGTGCAGAACCACCCCGTCCACCCCAGCAATCCTTGTGTTCCCTCACTTCTTTCCCAAGCCTGTGCCTCTCTGTCTGCTTATGATTCATTACTTGGCTCCCAGACACACTTATTCATGTACCTATTCTCACCCTGATTCATTCCCTTTCCTGCTCATTCATCCCACATTCACTAGAGCCCACTCTGTGGGACTCCAAATCCTAGGGCTTCTGAGTCCCCGAAGAGGGCTCTGCCCCTTGTCTTAAGGAAATGCTCCCATAGGTGGCTCAAGGAATACATCCGTAGGCATTTCAAAACTGGCTTTAAATACTCATCAGGGCGCCAAAGGAAGGGGCTGGGGTGAGAGCTTGTTACATGTGAATGTGGGGCTGGGGTGCCCTGAGAGAAGGGGACCCATCCATCAGGGCAGCTGGGGTGCCCCATGCCCACCCTGGGACAAGGATGCAGAGAGAGAATAGGGTCCCTCTCTGGAGGGTCCCAGGGCCAACTGGGAGCCAGCCCTCCCTTCGAGGTAGATCATCGGGGAGGGAACCAAGGAGGCGCTCCCATGGTGGCGGTGATAGGCGGTCACTTCCTCAGTGGTACTGCTGATAGCTGGGATAGCCTGGATCTTGGGTACCCTCCTTAGGGGGCAGCTGGCTGGGGTCCTCCAGGAACGGGGGTGCTGGAGAAGAAAGAATCAGGTACAAGTGAGCAAAGGAGACTAAGCAGAGCATTGCCCACTTCTCCCTGACCAGCTTTGTCAGGTACTCACTGCCAAGTACTCACCATTACGGAATTGCTGGGCAGTGTAGCGAGTGAGGAGGATACCAACACCCTCAATAAGGGCCAACAGGATGCCCCCCATCATTGCTGAGCCCACCATAGCCAATGGGCCACCTGGAGGAGTGAGCAGACAGGGAGAGAGAGGTGAGGGCTGGCAGAACAGGGTAGAAGGGGCTGGGGCCAGGGCTGGGGGTACTCACTGCGGGCAGCCAGCACAGCCCCGGTCAACGCTCCACTGGTGATAGAGTTCCAAGGATCTTCCTTGCCCCGCAGCCGCACCAGGCCGCAGTCGATGGTGGAGAACAGGCCCCCCCACACTGCAAAGCTACCTACAGTGGGACAGAGGCCTAATTAGTGTTCCAAGGGGAATCCCAAGAATCCATAGCTCAGAGACCAGGGACTCCCAGGGCCTGAATGCAATGTCAAAAAAAAAAAATGGGAGAAAACCCAGATGCAAAGGGAGACAGCAACTCCTAGGGGATATTCCCTACATCTGCCTCTATGGTAGCTCCTCTTCAAGCTGTCTCTAATCGCCACAGACACTCCCTTCTCCTTCATAGGGAGGTAACAAGTTGTTTACAAGCACATCTACCTTCCATATGGCTTTTAACAGAGCAACTTTGATCTTCATAACCACCACATAGAGTTGGGGTTCTGAACTTGGTTTCAGCGAGAAGGTAATAGGTTAGGAAAGCCAGTTAACAATACGATAGTTAAAATGTTTACTGAGGCCTTCCTTATTGTGTGTCAGGACCTGATCTAGGCACTGCTTATTATCTGACTTCGGAAATTTTAAACTAGTATTATGAAAGTGCTTAGCAGAGCAATCAGCACTTAGTAAGTGCTATGTAAATTACATAAATTACAAAATGACTGAGGTGGTTACTGCTATTGTCATCCCCACATTACAGATGAGGTTCAGAGAGGTTAAGCCACTAGCCCAAGGTCACAAATCAGGAAAGAGCCAGGCTCCAGACTTAAACTCCAGAACTCACCCATATTAAATTGTTGGGAAACATCACTCCCCCAGGCAAGTTGGGGCTCAAATATGGACTCCCAACTTGTACACTAGACCCAAAGGAGCAACCACTGCCAACTTTGCCATCATATTTCCTGTCTCCCCAAGCTTCTCACCTCCAATTTGGGGGGCTCGGATCCTCATAGCGTTGACACTACCTCTCAATCGGTGCCGAATTCCCTAGGGAACGTGAGGAGGAGGGGTGTCAGAGCAGGGCTGAGGACACTTGCAGACAGGGTTTTTAGCTTTGCAGAGGAAAGGGGCTGGGAGTCCTGTTGGGGGTATCAAAAGTAGAGATGTAGAGCAATGGCCAAGAACTAGGGGGCTGTCTGGTACCCCAACCTAGGTGTTCTCAGAGCTGGGTTGAGTTCTCATCCATCCATCCATCCATCCATCCATCTATCCATCCAATGACTACTGAGCACCTATGTGCCAGGCACCATGCTGCATGCAGGGATACAGCAGTGAACAAAGTAGATCTGGCCCGTGCCCTCTCTGAGTTCACATTATAGTGGGAGAGACAGATCCTGAGTAAGGGTACAGATAAACAAGACAACTTCAGACAGCAATACACACCCTAGAGGAAATAGAATGAAGAGATATAATGGCAGCTGAGGAGAAAGGAAAGACCTCTTTACTGAGGGGGCATCTGTGCTGAGACCTTGAGGATGAGAGAGAGAAACTAGGGCAAAGATCCAGGAAAAAGTTATAGGAGTTGAGGAGGGGCGGCAACAGGGCTAGATATATAAATTGAAGAGACATTGGCAAATGGATGGCATTCAAAATATGACACTTGATGAGATCTCCCAGAAGGGGGTGTCAGAGAAAGAGACAGAACTGATTATGTTAAATTAAAAGCATTTTCTTGGGCCGCTGAGTAGCTCAGTTGGTGAAGAGCTTGCTCAAGAGTGTGAGCTCTGAGCAACAGGGTTGCCGGTTCGCTTCCCGACCCGAGCTGAGCTGCTTCTGAACTGCCTACTGGTGGCAGGATGGCTCAGCTAAAAAAAAATGCCTAAAAGCATTTTCTTAACTTTAAGGTTGTTCTCCTTCTGCCAGTTAAACTGTTACTTCCGTCTATCCAGGTTTCTAACCCTGAATCTGCCTCCAAGTAAATTCTGTCTAGCTTTACACACACATATAGGATTTGGTGATAAGGGCGGAAAAGAGGCTCTGGAATGGATCTAATGGAACATAACTTCACAGGGTGATCTGAATGATCACAGCTATAGCTTCTCTAGTAAAAGGTTATATTTGCATTAAGCAAGCCCCGTCCATTGTTTGTTTATCTAGGGTAACACAGCTTTGAAATGGCTTTTTCAGACTACCCAAAAGAGAATAATCTTGTTAACTATCCTGCAACCCAATCATAGAGATTTCCCTGCCACGTCCATGTAGTCATGTTCCCTCCTTAATTCCAAATGTATGAAATTGCTGTCATTCTGGGAAGCATTTTTCTCAATCTGTTGAGATCTTGCTTCCAGGCGTATTCTCTGTTTGGCTCAAATAAACACTTACAGGGGCCTGCCGAGTGGCGCGATGGTTAAGAACTCGCTTGGGACGCCAGAGGGCCCCGGTTCAGATCCCACATATGAGGGCCAGTGACACTGCCC